AACTTTTAAAAAGTAATTTTAAAAAAGTCTGTGTGACCCTGGCTAAGTAGCTCAGTTGGTTAGAGCATTGTCCTGATATGCCGATGTTGCAGGTTCATTTCTAGTCAAGGCACATACAAAAAGCCACCAATGAATGCATTAATAAGTACAGCAACAAAATGATGTTTCTTTCTTTCTCTCTCTCCCTGCTCCCTTTTCCTCCTTCCTCTCTCCCTTTCTTCCTCTTTTGCCCTAAAATCAATCAGTAAAAAAAAATAATCTGTCTGGAAATTTTTCTGGGGTCTCCTCTTGATTTTTATCTTGGGGAACCTAAGAACCCCAAAGCCAGTAACATGACATTAAATACATATCTGGATAGGAGATGTTTTAACCAAATTTTAATTTCCTTGTAAAATCCGAATAAATTTTTTCTGGGCTGTCCTGTTTGTAGCCTGCCATGTTATTCCAGGCCTCAACATCATTATTATTCCTTAAGAACTAAGGTCATAAATTATGAAAAGCTTAAACCAAATGAAAATCTAAAGAGATGCCAGAATTTTAAATGAAGCATGGAATAAAACAAAGTTTAAAATGAATTAGGACTTTGAAATTATTATTAGAACTCTATTTTCCATTAAAAGCTACCAAACAGAATTCAAACTATAAAATGTCATTTTAAATTGAGTGTCCAGACAGTTCAATTTAATATATATTGCCTTGGCTGGGTAGTTCAGTTGGTTAGAGTATCGTCCCAACACTCCAAAGCTGCAGGTTTAATGCCTGGTCAGGACACATACAAGAGTCAACCAATGAATGCATAAATAAGTGGAACAACAAATCAATGGTGTTCTCTCTCCCCCTTCTTCTTTCTCTCGCTAGAATCAATTTTTAAATAAGTTCCTTAAATAGGCTGTGGCTGATGTGGCTCAGAGGACTTAGTGTTGGCCTGGGAGTCAAAGGGTCACTGGTTCAACTCCCAGTCAGGGCACATGCCTAGGTTGCAGGCCAGGTCTTGGCAACCACAATCGGGAGAGGCAACCCACATTGATGTGTCTCTCTCTTTCTTTCTCCCTTCCTTGCCCTCTCTATAAAAACAAATAAATAAAATCTTAAAAAATTTTTCTTAAATATATATTAAAAACCAATTAAGAGTTTGCACTGTCCCAGGTTCAGGGACCTAAAGACCAGTAAAAATATAGACCTTGCGTTCAAAAGTACACTCATGCAGCCTAGTAGAAAGGTTAAGCCACGTAAACAAAGAATGGCAAATTACAAATCAGGAAACAAATACATTAACTTTACAAGGTAAGATAAAAGCTCCTTTGCAGGGTAGGGGTTTGTTAATGACAGTTACCTGGAAAAGCTGGTATCTAAGCTGGGTTTTGAGACACAACAGGAATCTTTCAGGAAGACAGAAAGGGAAAGAGAATCTTGCCAAAAAGAACATGGTATAGGAAGCACAAAGACACAAAAAGAGTATGTTTAAAGCAATACTATATTACTTGAGTGCTGGGTTTCAGGAAAAAGGAATGCAGATGAAGTTAGTCAAGATGTTAGTTCATGAAACATCTTGTGTACCATGTGAATCAGCAGGTCATTCATCTTATATCGGATTGAGAACCTCTGAAGGGTTGCCAGGAAAATGATAGAAACATATTTTCTTTTTGGGAAGATGACACTTTGTGATGGAAGATGCCTACCAGCTCTTTGTATGCTATCTCCTCCTCCTCATTCATTCATTCATTCATTCATTCATTCATGTATTTAGCAATCTGTCCATTATATGCTAGCTCTGATTTTAGGTAATTGAGGACACAGCAATAAACAAAAAAGGTCTCACCCTGACTGGTGTGATTCAGTTGGTTGGGCATCATCCTTCAAAGTGAAAAGCCCTCTGGTTTGATCTCCAGTCAGGACACCTACCTGGGTTGCAGGTTCAGTCCCCAGTTGGGGAGAGTGCAAGAGGCAGCCAATTTGTGTTTCTTTCTCACATCAATGTTTCTCTCCCTCACTTTCTCCCCCCCTTCCCCTCTCTTCAAAAATAAGTAAACTAAAAATAAATAAATAAAACAAATAAATAAAAATAAAAATAAATAAGTAAATAAAACTTTTAAAAACAAAACAAAATGAAGATCTCTGCTTAATTGTCACTTCTTCAGAGAAGACTTCTTTAATAACACTATCTAAAATAGTTTTTTATTATAATAACTTCTACTGTTACGCTCTACCACATGAAGTTTTTTTCTAAGTTTATCAAAATTTATAATTATGTAATTATTTGTAATTACATGATTACATAATTAAATACAGATTTGTAATTACAGAGTATCTCAGTAAGCCTACTGTACTCTTACTTAGAAAGAGAAACTTAAAATCCTGTTCTTATTTGTTAAGGTAGCCTAGTTTAGCTAGCCCTTAATGACTTAATAATTCACTCATTCAGTAATTACTGAATACCAACTATATGCTAAAAAGTGGGGAAAGGAATCCAGTGGAGAACATTATAGAAATGATCCCCTTCCCTCAAAAAGCTGAAAGTTTACTAAGGTGATATATACAAGTAAAACAGGCAATTACAATACTCTATAATAGAGCCATGACAAGGAAAGTAAGACATGACCAGCAGGGTCCCTGGGTGTACAATTGGGCAGGCAGCTAAACTTGCAGAAACAGGGAAGTAGTGGCTATAAAGGCTTAAGCCCTGGGCAGAATGCTAAATGGGTGCAATGTGCCCCAAAACAACCACCACAAAAGATAATGACATTTAGATGGCATTTACCATGTGCTAGGCATTCTTTAAAGCACTTTATATACAATATTAATTATTACCATCAATTTATTAATCACATATATTATTAGTTGATTCAACCCTTACAACAATCCCATAGATATGTACTACTGTCATCCTCATTTTACAGAAGAGAGGTCTGAGCTACAGACAGCTCAGCAAAGTCTCTGCCATCACACAGCTGCTCAGTGGCACAGATAACAGTTGAACCTGACAGTCTGGAGCTAGTCTGAGTTCTTAACCTCTATACTATACTGCTTTTCATAAGTATTACCAATTGCTTTTCCTATTCTATTTTTTATTTCCTGTAATGAGAACTAAACTCTCATGCATGCTATGTTTTCAATAGCCATCATGACTAGTAATTGATTGAATAAAATCAGGTCCTTTTCGACTTAAAGCATTAAGATATGGATGGCATAACTCTAAGGGTTGATTATTATGAAATGTCTGAAGAATATATTTGAAGAAACACTAAGATTTATTGATTGTTTATAAAACCCCTTAAAAGCACATAAGAAAAAATGGGCAAAAATGTTTGGCATTATCTACTAATGATCAATGTATATACAACTTATTATCCAGAGATTCTACCCCTAGCCACCTACTCAAAAGAACTATATATGTATGCACATATGCATGTGTGTGTGCATTTGTCCGTGTACTAGTAGGTTCACAGCAGCCCTATTTGTAGTGACTTTAACCTAGAAGCTACCCAGATGTCAGTGCCCACCAAATATTACACCAGGCACATAAACTATGTTACGGACCTCAACTAAATATAAGCAATGAGAATGAGTGATCCACAGCTGTATACAACATGGACAAATCTCACAAATAGGATGTTAATGAAAGAAGCCACACACACAAGCATTTGTCCTGTATGACTCCATTTATGTGAAGTACAAAACTAGGCAAACAAAACCAATCAGTGCTACTGGACGGGCTTCCCATGAAGTGCGTGAGTGGAAGGGAGTACGAGGCTATGGGAAGCTGATAATGTTCTGCTTCTGACCTGGGTGGTAGATGCTCAAGTGTGTTCAATCTGCAAAAATTCATCAAGAGTACACTTACGGTACATATACTTTTCTGCATATATGTTTTTCCATAAAAAGTTAAATAGAAGTTAGTATTTTTATATATCTGGTCTATAATTTTCAATGAATTTAATATTAAGAGAAATAATTACACTATCATCATTGCTAATATCTGAGTGCTAACCCTGTAGCAGCTACTATCCTAAAAGCCTTACATGAGTGAATCTCACTTAATTCTCACAAACATCCTATATAGACTCCATATTAATAATGGAGGCACCATTATTAACTTCATTTTCTGATAAGAAACTGAGGCTCAGAGTCATTAAGCAATGTGTTACAGAGAAAAAATCAAACTCGGACGACCCTAACCCTAGGGAATATATTCTTAACCATCTAGCTATAATAAATTATAGGTAAAGGAGAATTCAGGTGATGTCAAGGCAAGAGAGAGACACTGGTCTTGAAACTTGCTCCACATGAATGTTCAGTCACCTTATTTTCCAGGTGGAACCTTAAACTGGCCAGATTAAGTTGTAACAAGCAACAGCCTAGACAATTTGTTCGCACAATCGAATCACTCTCTCTTGTTGTAGAATATTTGTTCAGGCCTGAGAAAATATAAATGTTAAAAAGTTTCTAAAACCAAACCCCATTTTCCTAACTCTATTCTGTCCCTTACAATTTTTTACTCCAGTGATCTAAAGTATATCTTTTTATTTTATTTTATTTATTTATCTTTAGAAGGGAAGGGAAGGAGAGAGGAAGAGAAATATCAATGTATGGTTGCTTCTCGTGTGTCCCCTGCTGGGAACTGACCCCTGCTAGGAACTGGCCTGCAACCCAGGCATGTGCCCTGACTGGGAATCGAACCGCGATCTTTTGGTTTGCAGGTCCGCGCTTAATCCACTGAGCTACACAAGCCAGGGCCTAAAGTATATCTTTAAGAAAATGTAACATGGCAGAGGAACATTAGTACAGCTAAACTTTAACACATCATTAATCTTTATGCTATGTTCACGAGGTTCTATCTGAGAATAGGCTGATGATCACATCTGCGATGCAGAATTAACAAGCACTTTCATGAATGGAGACAGAACAAATGTAATCATGTAACAGTTTTAACAAAGATAACACAGGGAAAATAATTCCATAATTAACTGCAGCATTTGTCAATTTACCAACATTAAATTTACCTCTTTGGAGGGGGAAGCAGGAGAGGTGAAAATTGTCATCCAATAGGACCATACAAACATAACAAAGAACAGATGAAAAGCCACAAGGTAAACAACCGCCTTTCCTGGTAAATAAAAACAACATTTCATTGAATCTTGGTGAAAACAGGAAAAAGCACTACATTAAAACACAATATTTAAGGTAAGGAGGTTTAATCTTACAAAAAAATTAAAATATACTTAAGACATCAAATACATTAGGTCCTTTATCTGCATGAGATAAAGTTACAGATATGAAGCAACATTTTGTTTTTAAGGGTTATTATTCTAGTTTATAAGTAGTATAAGACTGGTTTGAGATGAAACTTGATTGAAAACAACTCTTTCACTGATGGCATTTCAAAGTTCTTCCTAAGAGTTAGACTTTAAATGACTTGAAACAAATTCCATTACAATGAACATTAAATCCAATAAAATACGAAGTGAAAATAAATAAAAGAAGTTCCTATCACAACAAATAATCAGTACATCAGAAAAACTCAATCCCTGATTGTTCAGAAAAGTTATTAAAATTTTTATTGTCCTTTTCAACACAGGGTAAAAAATTTTTAGCCACTTTGAATTTCTTCCATAACTGTTTCCCAAGCAGATTAGTGTTAATACTCCATCATCTTTATCTCCAAATACTAAACTCACTGAAATAACTTAAAGCTTTTTGTTGGGTTCTGCAGTTTTTCTGTTTGGGAGAAATGGGACTGATTTCCACAAGAAGCAAAAACTATCTACCAGGCACTTAATTTCTAAGTTTGGAACTTAACACCACAAACCCACTGAAAAACAAAGCGTAAGTTTTGAAAGCATTTTAAAGTTCAGGTCAAATACTACTTTTTCCACAAAAGCCTTCTCTCCATTACCTCCAGAATTCATTACACCCTCACACTCTACTCTCCAAATAATTTGCTCAGTCTTCAATTAAACCACTCACTTGATTCATTAAAGTTAGCTGCTTAATATTGATGAGCTAAGAAATGCAAAACACTTAGGACAGTGCCTAGCAATAAATCCTCAATAAATACTGGATTTTATTACTCTCCGGGCATCTTAATTTCTTTTCAAAAGGTGGTGCTTGTTTGTATTCTCTTTGTCAGCATTTCCCAACGTGAAGGACTAATAAAAGTTTTCACTGATCTACAATGAAATGAGAAATATTAATAACAACATGGTAAAGCTTTTATGGAGCTAACATATTTTCAGTTCAAAGTACTGTTCTTCCTATGGTCTGAGGTTATTTTTCCTTATGTTTTTGGTTTTAAAAATGTCCTTTTTAAATAAAAAAGTGACAACTCCTTGGACCCCAGCATTTTCTATTGCAATTATCCTGGTCCAGGAGACAGGAAGGAAGCCTCCAGGAAGCCAGGGCTCAATGACTCCTCACATCCTGCAGCTCATCAGTAAAAAGCACTTCAGGGCTGCTACATGGCAATGGAAAAGAACAAGCCACTAAACACAACACAACCAGATAGAGTAAAAGAAGATAGATTTGCAAAGTACATACTAATTATTCCAATTGCAAAAAGTTTAAGAAGAGACAAAACTGATCTGTGGTGACAGACAGGACAACAGTGGCTACCCCGGGGAGGGGGGAAGGCGCTTACTGTCCCGAAGGGGCAGACGAGCACTTCCTGAGGTGCTGAAAGCAGTTTATGCCTGGACCTGGGAGGTCGTTGCACTGGTAGTGCTTATGCTGTAAACAGTCATTGAGTTGAACACTTAAGATTTGTGTGTTTTATATTTATATGTCACACCTCCATAAAAATAAAGAAGGGGCGAGGTTGAGAAAAAAAAAAGTAAAAAGCACTTCAAATTCTAGCTCCTACAATCTCTTTCAATGTAAACTTTTCACTACTTCAACTGTTGCTTATTTCACTTGGATTAATGCAAAAGTCAACTGGTCTCCGTAGTCTAGTCTGTCTCATTTCCAACCCATCTCGGTGGGCAGCATAAAATGTGCTGCTTAGACCCCTACCCCCTGGCAGTGAAATTCCTGTGAAGTAACTCCAACTGCATTAACTAATGAATTCATTCTAAAACTCTGGGACTTCCTAGTAACCATATCTGACCATAGTTATTCAAATCACCACTTCTGCCACTGAAAGTCTGAGACAGCATATAATGTAGACCTTATTTCTAACTCTCACGACAATGTGGTAATTCTTTCAGTTTACAAAGGTAAAAACTGAGGCTCAGGGAATTTAATTTCTTGCCCAGTTTCATTTAGTTACTAAACGAGAAACCCAGATTTCAAACCCATATCTACTTAATAAAAATCCAAGGCTCCTTTCACTGTCATACCTAAAGTTATATTTTCCTCCACTTTTTGAACCATCATCATAGTGTTGGCACAGGCAGCTAGTTTGGTATTAACAAAAGAGAAGGAAGTAAAACTGGCTAAGCGTGACTAGGTGAGAAGGCTAATGCCTCACAGATACCCCACATGAGAGCCCCATCCTCCACCAAAGGGATGTTAATTTTGGAGCAGGCAGGAAAGACCAGCTTTCCAGTCTTCCTGGGAGAACAATCCATCAGTTTGCAGGGACTGGGGAGGGGGAGAATAAACAGGGAAAATTGCCTAGGCATGTGCAATAGGAGCAAAAATAGCAAGCATTAAGGGGAAGAGAAAAACCTAGGAAACGAATTGGATAGCAGGAGGCATCAGCAGAGCCCCGTGAAGATCCAGGAAAGAGATAGTGTAGTATGAAAGAAAATTTACTCCTTCCCAAACCCAAGGAAATATAATCAAAGCTTAACGGTCCAAGTCTCACACATACTCTCTCTCTCTCTGCAGCAGCCTTGGGGACCAGATGGGAGCAGAGACCTGGACTACTGGAATCTTGGATCCCAGGCTAATGGCACTGCAGCTCTGGGCCCTGGATCTCCTCCTGGACTCAGTGGGGACAAGTGTGGGGCTGTGACCTCAGAGGCTGGACTTCTGAAATGAGACAGAGCTGAGCCAGCAGGTTGTGGAAGAGACAGTACAGCGCCCTCTTCAGGGGGATCTATGTCCCGTGTGCCCTTCCACTAAGTCTTGCTGCTACTACTACTGTTCAAATCCTCCTATGTGTGACTCCCCAAAATGCATTTCCCCAAGCAGCAAGAACCTATTTCTAGACTGGTTTACCTCAGGCAACAACAGTGGTCACAGCCTACTTTAAAGCCAACATCTGATCCCAAGATAAAGTTCTAACTATAATCTCCTTCTATTTTCAAATTTGCCTTCTTTTCACTCCCATTAAAATTGATTGTCATCCTCACTAACCATACTGGTTTTTTGAACTGCATTTTGTATCATTTCAGCTCCCTCCACGTTAAATCTCACAGTCCACTCAGCAGATTCAATACCATTCTTTGTTTTTCCTTTGGAAAAGCATGCTGGAGCTCAGTCTCCTAATATTACCACCAACTGTCATCTTCATCTAACTCACTTCACTTCATTTTTGCCTGGCCTGACATTCAGTCAAGTTTGTCAATCGTCATCTATACACTATTGTATAGCTTTGAAATAAATGGTAGCCTAGAGCTGTTTAAACCTCTTGACCGTTTAGTTACTTACAATTAAAGCTAGAATGTAAAACAATACAGCCTAAAAACATTTTTAAAAACATTTAACATATTTTTAGAATATTTCTGCTCTCCATAAGAACAAAAACAAAATGGCTCTTGCTTTAAAAACCTGTAACTCTCACTTATAAAAACATAGGTAAAATACATCTCTCAGCATAATGCCTGAAATACAGTAAGTACTTAATAATGGGACACAAGCCCCCTTTTCAGGTCCTCTTTCCCAGAACTAGCTGGACTCCATAAAGCATGACTGACCCTAATGGTTTTAGAGCCTTTATCCTCAGGACTAGAAAATTACTGGAAGCCCCCTAAAGGTGCTGAGAATCTAGGAACTTATGAAACAGGATATACCAGACCACAACCATCCAAACTGGACCATATACCTTTGAAACAAGTTGCAGCTCAACTGAAACCTTTTGCTCTATAACCACCCCATTACCTAATAAGTGCCCAAAGCTCTAACCTCCTGGGGCTGCTGCATTTCTCCACACCTAGCCCTTTCCCTCCCTTGGGAAAGTAAAAATAAAAACTTTGCTATCCTTCACTCTGTGAATTCTTTCACAGCCCAAGTCAGGAGCCTGCTACGTGCTGCCTGACACAGAACCCACCTGACTAAAATGCTAGCAGACCATGAGGAACCTCTAGACAAAGAAAATTCCTGCCTAAGACTGATTAATAGCTACTCATTCATACCTTATTGTTTAACCATACCACAAAGGGAGAACACAACACCACAAAATATACTTTGTAAAGGTCAAAATTAATCTCAACCTCTTTCCACTCTCTATTTTCCCATACCAGCAATTTTCCATAGAGACTACAAACAGATACAAGCTCAACCTCTAGAGACAGGTGAGGCCTCTCTTCCTTCTTTAATGAGGAGAGTCCATTACTCTATCTGCAGATTGGGTTTTCCTGCTTGTTCCCTCTTCTCAATAAAACCTGCTTTTCCCCTTTAACCTCTTATCTGGCTTGAGTCTTAAATCCTTTTTGGGTTGAGTCTGGAGTTCCCACGGGGAACTCCCCACTCTGGCATCAAAATTATGGTGTAAAAAATAGAAAATATTGCTTTTAAACAAGCTTGAATTAATGTGATTGCTAATAACAAACTTCTGTGCACACATATGTGCTAAAAAATACATAAAGCAAGTTAACTAAGCAAATTAAATCAAAGCTGAAAGAAAACAGGAACCTATAAATCAAAAAGCCTGATTCATAAATCACCTGTAACTAAATTAAAGACAAACAAATAAGCAAACAAAAAACTTCATCAAAAGACTCTTCGGAAAACATGGAGAAAACATTTCCAAGAAATAAAGATACAAACTGAAAGTTCTATTTTAAGAATTTCAGAAATTCTCTGCTTTCTGTATGTACTCATTCAACATATGGAACACAATTTTGATTTAAAGGAAGAAAAACAAACCTACCGAGATTGAGTCTATGTTTATTCTGTTACTGAGAAATCAGATTCAAAGCCAACTTGAGAGTTACATAGTTAATGCCTTATTATTTCCAGTAATAAGAATAAATATTAATTTCTAACTGTAAAACCGTTCTAGAAATTGTCTGGATTTCTGTATCTCAAATCATCAAATTTTATTCCTGAAATCTGTCTCATTACACCTAAAATTTTATTTTATCTCAGTGAGCTCTGAGCAAATATTTTTTCCTCTAGTTCTGTCTTTGAATAGTCATGATAAAAACTTTTAATTCCCTTTCAAAATGAACCAGTAATACAATTTACAAACTTACAGTCTATTTAACTAAATGTCTGTGAGTACTAAAGTACACATTTTAACAAATGTATAAACAAGAGAAGATAAAATCCCTTCTTCACCCTAAATAGTAAATATCTTTGAACTATTACTCCAAAGAACACACAAGGCAGAAATATGTACATCAATGAAATCTGGATACTAGATGCCTTACAAAATGACAACTATTTTAATTTATATAAATAATGCAAATGAAAATATATTAAATGTATAAAAATGAACCCAGTATTACATCTCATTTTAATTACTTAAACTTAAAAAGTATATACTGTCTTTCTGAAAAAACAAACAAACAAAAAAACCCACACAGTCATCACTAAATAAAAAGAATTCGGGTTGTAATTATGATACCCTAAGTAGTCTACTTAAATTGAGACTAAAAGTACCTTACCATTTTCTCCATTTCCAGAAAGAGTAACTAGAATAGAAGAAAAAATAGTGAATTAATATATTTTAAACATTTTGTACATAAATTTTATCACAGGTTGACTATTCACCTTAACATCATTTTCATAAAGTTTAGTTATAAAATGTAAACACTAATGCAACTTCAGAATTATGCACTCTAAAACATACTAAAAACACCAAACTGCTAAAACTCAAATTCTTCTTCATCATTGACACTGCAATTACATTAAACATTTCTTTCAGAACTCTGTTTATTTTAGGCATTTCCATATGGTTATAGCTGTGCTGTTTCCTTAGCTCTTTCCTTAGTGCTACCTTGAACAGGACTCCTCTATGGCACTCTTAGTTACTTAATTAGTCTATCATGTACCCCTACAGAGTTTTTCCTCAATTTCTTTGGCATAATATTTGTATCTCTTTGCTTTCACAATGAATATCTTAGTTCCCAATTAACTTACTTAATTTAGTTTATCCTAAAATATACATAAAATAGTTTAAAACTGCATACAAGTGTATTTCTTTGCAGCTTTTTCATTTTATTTTGTTTTGGCTTTAGACTATATCCCACTAAGGAGTACTATGTTCAAAAGTCACTTGAGGCCCAGGCCAGGAAGCTAAGTTGGTTACAGCATCATCCTGATGCACCAAGGTTGCTGGTTTGATCCCCAGTGAGGGCACATACAGGAAGCAACAATGAGTGCACAAATGAGCGGAACAACAAATCCTTGCTTCTGTCTCTCTCGCCTCTTCTTCTTCTCTCTCAGATTAGCAAATTAAAAAACCAAACAAACAAAAGAAAAAAATAATTTAATAAATTAAGTTCGTTTATCATGATTTTAGATTTTCCAGTTTTTTCTCTCTGTTTTAATTTTATTTTTTCAATATGCATAATATATCAATGGTTTAAAAGTCAAAGTTATATAAAAAGGTACTCAGAAAGGCCTGGCTTTCATTCCTCATGCCAAGTAATCATTCTTATTAGTATTTGTTTTATCCTTTTTATATTTTCTCTTACCGAAATAAGCAAGTAAGTATATACATGGTGGGGCAAAAGTAGGTTTACAGGTGTTTGTAAACATGATGTTACAATAATTAATAACACAAGAATAAATCCTGTTTCATATACTCACAATTGTAAAGCTACTTTTATCCACCCTGTTATTTTCAATTTCTCCATTTATAAGCCATTCTACACCTTGCTTTTTTTTTTTAATCATTACACATAGAGTACATAGACACAACCATGGCTTGTTTGTACGGCACTGCACAGTACTCCATTGTGTGGGGGTCCCGGTAATACAATCAGGCCTCTATCGATAGACATCTGGGTAGTCCCCAGTTTTCTGATGCTACAATGTGGCAATAAATGACCCTATGCATGTGTTATTTGTGAAAGTTTATTTTCAGCGTAGATGCCAATAGTGGGATTATTGGACAAAAAGTAAATCCGCCTGTTTATCCCCCGAATCCTCATTGTAGGGGTTGTACCATTCTACACTCCTACCAGCAATGTATGAAACTGCTTGTTTCTCTAGAATATACCCAATGAAATGTTTTCAAATTTTGGTACTGCAGGGTAGTTTCACTTTGCATTTATCTTATAAGTGAGAGTAAGCATCTGTTCATAAGTTTATGAGCCATTTTCATTTTTTTTCTGTGAACTAACTACTTATATCACCTATTCTTTTTTTTCCCCCTGTAGGGCTTTCCTTAATCTCTGGTTATAAGATCATCCACTCAAATTTTCTTCTAGTACTTGAATGTTTTTGTTTTTTACACTCAGATTTGTTCCACTTTGAAATGGCAGATTCCAGGGACAAGTATCAGATAAGCCCTTAAAAATCATGTTGCCAAAAAGTAAGGAAGAACTAAGTGATGGGGACATGTTAGAAAGACAGAGAAACCAAACTGAAAGAGATTCTATTGGTCAAGTGTGAGAGAATCAGAACAACAACAAAAAATGGTAAGATTATAACCCATAATAGAAGAACCCATGAGACCATGTGCATATAAATGAGTAAATGACCCTGACTGGTGTGGCCCAGTCTGTTGGGCATCATCTGCAATGTGAAAGGTGACCAGTTGGATTCCCAGTCAGGGCACATGGCTGGTTGTAGCCTCAGTCCTGGGTGGGGGCGTGTACAGGAGGTAACAGATCAATGTTCCACTCTCACGTCAATGTTTCTCCCTCCCTTCCCTTCTTTTTGTAAATAAATAAACACATACAATCTTTAAATGAATAACTAAAAATGGGAAAGAGGGAAACCTTTTTCTTACAGTACAATTCTTATGTAGAAGAAATCATGGAATTAGAAAAACCTCCATCTGGCAACCAGTACAATAACTATTTCTAGCAAGAATCTGCAAAGATACTAAAAAGAGTAAGCGCAAGAAATCAGGAATAGATTTCCCCACAAAGATACTGTCTGAGTTTCTCTGGAATCAGGTGCTGAAATAGAGTGTGAGATACAAAATGTTTACTTAGGATCAACAAATAAAGAAAAAAATCTCTATTTCTACAGATGCCAAAAGGCATTTGAAAAATCCAGTATCAATTCCTGATTTTTTTTTTTTTTAAAGATTTCATTTATTTATCTTTAGAGGGGAAGGGGGGAAGGAGAGCGGGAGAGAAACATCAATGTATGGTTGCTTTTTGTGTGTCCCCTGCTGGGGACTGGCCTGCAGGGAACCGGGCCTGCAACCCAGGCATGTGCCCTGACTGGGAATCGAACCGCGATCCTGTGGTTCGCAGGCCCGCGCTCAATCCACTGAGCTACACCAGCCAGGGCCAATTCCTGATTTTTAAAAAAGATTTTATTCATTTATTTCCAGAGAGAGGGGAAGAGAGGGAGAGAATCGTCAATGTGCAATTGTCTCTTGTGGGCCCTGAGCTGGGGTCCTGGTCTGTAACCCAGGCATGTGCACTGACTGGGAATCAAACCAGTGACTCTCTGGTTCAGAGGTCCCCACTCAACCCAATGAGCCACACCAGCCAGGCAAGTTCCTTATTTTTTTAAAAAAGTTAATAGTCCTGGCTCCCCCCCTTCAGCAATATACTCTGACACTACCAGCAGCTCATAGCAAAATAGGCATATGCAATATGATCTTCAAATACAACTAATTAAAAAAAGAATGTATATTCTTTATTTATATATATAGGTGTGTGTGTATGTATATATATGCATGTGTGTGTGTGTGTACAAATAAAACTGTGTAAGAACATGCTCCTTCACTCACTAAAGTGTGTATGGGGGTGGCAGGAGAGAGAACAACACAACTCTAACCTGCCAAAAGAGGGAAAACAAGAGAAAGTATGCTAGTGGCTACTTAAATTTTCTCCCCACTCCCAATAACATTTGGAAACCTATTTTGCTATGAATTTTACATTATTTTGTAAGACAAGTATTATCTAATTTTATAGCATGGGAACAAGTTCAGAGAGCTCATTCGACAAATACTAAAATATACAAAGAGGCCGGTATGGCAGCCATAAAACAAATTAAAGGAAGAGTAGAAAAGAAATTATGGTAGAGAATGAGGGGAAGACAACATGGTAAGGACTTAAGGTGTTCCACTGAAGAGGAGTGAGAAATTTGGTATTAATTTGAAAGGAATCATTCTAGCTGCTTCATAGAGAATAGGCAGGATATAGCATGAGGATGGGGTTGGAGCAAGAAGGGAGAGACAAGATATAAGGGTACTACAGTGTTACAGGCGATAATACTGTGTAACAAACCACCCAAAACTCAGTGACTTTAAACAACCACCATTTATTATTTCCTACAATTGTGTGTCAGCAGTTCTGGCTAAAATCAGGTGAACTGTTTTTTCTACTAGATATAGTCAACTGGTAGCTTGACTGGGGCAGAAAAGTCTAAGATGGCCTTATTCAGAACAGGTGCTTTGGAACTTAGCTCGCCTTGGCCAGACCTCTCTCTCTTGGCTCAGGCCTTTCGGAGCTCAGGGCTGCGGTCCTCTGGCCTCATGCAGCCCAGGATGGCTATGAATGTGGCCCAACACAAAATCATAAATTTACTTAAAACATCATGAGATTTTTTTTTGTGATGTTTTGCAATGTATTTAATGTGTTGCCCAAAACATCTCTTCTTCCAGGGTGGCCCAGAAACACTAAAAGGTTGGACACCTATGGGTCTAGCCTGGACTCCCTTACGTGGTGACCAGAACATGCCAAAAGAGCTAAAGTGAAGATGCATGCTGTCTTGAGGCCTAGGCTCCAGACCATACACATCACTTCCACTATATTCTATTCATCAAAGCAAGTACAAAGCCATCCAGATTCACCAGGTGGGTAAACAGACACCACCTCTTGATGGGAGGAAGTACAAATTACTATGGCCATGTTTTCCAATCTAGTGTACAAGACAGAGACTATGGTGGCTGGAATGAATATAGTTGCAGTAGTAGTGGTGAGAAGCAGCCAGGTTTCATTCAGTACTTTTAATGACAGCATTTACTGATTTATTAGATGTGGAATGATTTCTGAACCAACAAACTGAAATGATGAAATTCATTTACTGAGCTAGAGTAGAAGGAGCAGGTTCAGGAAAGAGAGAAAATAAATCTCAAATTTTATTTTGGACCTGGTAAGTCTTTATTTTGGTCCTGGTAAGGACCTTGGATCAACTAAATATCCAAGCAGAAACGTCAAGAAAGCAGGCATTAGACTATGGAATTTAGCATGGGAATCCAAATCTGGGCTATAGGGGAGCTGATTCTGGGCTGTAGGTGATTCGATGTTTTGCCAAAACCTCTGCAGGAAATGTGCTGCATGAGTAAGCGTGTTGTTGTGGCGAAGCTGCCAATCACCCATGGCTGCGGCCTTCTGAATCATCCAAATAGTTTACACAAAGGAATGTTCAAGCTTAAACTGAATGCAGATTCATTGCTCTCCCTGCTCAGTTATTTTGAATGCAATGACCACACAGTACATATGCTCACTAAACGGCGTCTACCACCCCCAATGTCTAGTACAGTGAAATTATCGTTGTT